ATCAGAGAACTGAGCTTGATCAGATTATAATTATATTTATTCATGAAATAAGAGAAGTCAAGTGAATTTTCTTCACACTTATTTCTGTATATTATATCATGTATAATTATCTGCTGAATCTGCTGATTTTATAAGAAAATTTCAATAGTTACACTATTATCAGGCTTTTAATAGTTTAAAAGACAGTATTATATAATATTTTAATACTGAATAGTGATAAAAATAACAGTCATTTAATATATAAATCTCAAGTAATAAGATATTTACATTACACTTGAAATATCTTATTTCTTTAGATAGTTAGCTATATTAGTTGATAAATAGTTTAATTTGCATAAAGTAGTTAGCTAAAGAGTATGTATTAATTCACTGACAGAACAGTATATCAGAGTTCACAGTATCTTAATAGTATCTTAATAATGATATTCACTGATTATATGATGACTGAGCTGTGCTCTGATAATGTCAAGAAGTTCTGTACCAGTTCAATACTATCTTAACATTTAATTTTTAGCAATATGTTACTGAAATCAATGATAGAACATGTGTTACAATCAGTGACATATAACCGCCGTGAAACAGTGAAATCAACGTGAAATCACTGTAAATTGACTCTACATTCTTCCAGTATGAATTTATTTCATTCTTTATCTCAGTAAACTCAGTCACTTCACTCCGAGCTAACTCAATACAAACTACTGCTACTTTCTGCCAAGTTTTGCTAATATCTGAGTCAATCAACTATCACAGAGCTTATACTAAACCTAAATAAGACATTCTCAGCAAACTCTTTACAAAGTATCTGAGAAAAAACAGTTTCTATTTATTAGTAATATAAGAATAATTTGCTTTAATTATAATATTTAAGATAGAATGACTGTATAATATTACTTATAGATTATTTCTCTATTATCTTGAAGAATTAATTTTTCAATTTTCTGTTAATTAATATAATTTTTATCTGAAAATATATATATTCTAAGTATGAAGTATTATATTAAAAACTATTACTATGATTTTAAATATAAGAATAATTTACTAATTTTTCAATTATAATTATATCTAGTTATTCAATATCTTGATCTTGCTATTAAAATATCTATTCAGTTATTAAAGACTATAATTAAAATACTAAGTATATTTTTCAGTAACTTCTGACAACTTCTGATAACTTCTGAACTCTTAATAATCTTTTATTATTATTATTATTCTTTCATTATACTCATATGCAAGCGGAGCTTATGATGAGTTCTTGCGTGATGTTAAATACAGGTCAAGTGTTGGTTATACAGAAGGAAATACAGGTGTTGAAACCACACCAAGATAACAAGAACATAGGAAAATACAAAGGAGTGACAATTAGATACATGCGATAATAACTTCCCAGCTCAGGAACATAGAGCAATTCATTGAAGCGATTTGTACACCTCTGTATTTATTAGAAACCTGAGGTGCTTGAGTTCCGGATTTAATGTATCCCCTGCGGGTTTCGAACCCACGCGCCTTGATTACCCACGCCAAGGCGCTACCGGGTGGCCGCATTAACCATTCGGCCACCAGGGCTCTTAATAATCTTATACAGTATATTAACTTCTAATAACTTCTGAGATCTTTTAATAACTTCTGAATCAATTATATAATACTTCTTTTTAACAGCTGAATTAATTAATATCTCATTAACTGTATTAAATATAATCAAGAGAAATTGAAGAAAATATATAAGTCAGCTACAATAACAGCTTTAAAAGTCATTATTAAAGTAAATACTTTCAATAAATGTTAAAGATATACTATAACTTGTTATAAGCTATATCAGATCAGATAGTATTAATAAGTAATAGAATATTATTCAGTATTATTTTCAATAAATACTTTAAGATCTGTGTTTAGATTCTGAGTGTACTCTTCAGTTATATATAGAATAAGTCTGTATACTTCAGTGTATAATATATAAATATAGTAATACTTTATTCATTGTTTGAACTGACTGTAAAAAGAGTCTTATTCTTCAATTCTATACAATTCTGATAGAAAAGATAATCATTTAACTGATTTCTTTAAACAAGCTTGATAATCAGTAAATAAGAGATATAGAATGATTTCTCAGTATTAATTCTTATCTAATCAGAGCTGATAATCTTCAGAGATAAGAAGACTTACTTAAATATATTTAATGAAGTGAGTATATATATATACTACTTAGTTCAGAGTAAGCTCTTTATAAGTAATTTTAACATATTCTTTAAGACTCTACTTTATACAAAAAGATTGAGCTTATAACTATTAATGAGTATTATCTTATCACACAGTGAAGTGAATTCTATAGTCAGTTTATCAGACTGAGATATCTGAGATTGTTTCTTTATAAGAATATTATCTGATTTAACTGTTTTATAACTCTTAGTATTAAAGCTAAGAATATCATTCTTCAAGAGACTGAATTTCATTCTATTGATATAAATTTATAACAGACTCAGATTATTCAAACTTTTATTAATCATTTTAATATCTTTATCAGTATATATCTGATTTCATGCAGTAAACTTGTATTCTATGATATATTATATTTTTTATTGAGCAAGGTTATTGATACAGATGAAAAAATCATATCTTAATATATTTTAAAAATTATTATCTTTATTAACAGTTATATCAAGATTTAATAAGCAGTGTAATATTTCTGATTAATACTTCTTCAGATCTATCAGAATAATACACAGAATATTAATAATACTGATATCTTTTTTATTAATAATATTATTCAGTATTTCATATCTTAAGTATCTGAAGTGAATCAGAATATTCACTTTGAGAAGTTCATAAAATCAATATTGAAAATACAAATTATAGTAATAATAACCTCACTGAGTATGAGTATAAATATTTCAGATATTAAGTGTACTGTTGTATGAGAATTTTCTATTGAGAGAGATAATATCACAGATATTTAATAATGATATAAGTAAGAGAATTACAGATTAGATTAAAAAAGTTATATCTTAATTCTTCTTCTCTACTGAGTATTTGACTCTGAAGATTATGAAAAGAAAGCTATTCAATCTTCTCAACTGTCAGTGAAATAAAGATCTCAGTAAAGAACTCAATATCAGATTAGTCAGCTATTACAGTTTATAAACTTAAAGAACATATCTGATACTGAAAGTATTGCATTAAATATGATAGATAAGAGTCAAAGTTAATGTAGAATAATCACTGTGAAGACATGAATAGAGAATAAAATGTAAAGATAAGTCAATCTCTTCACTGACTGAAAGAGAATTATTAATAACTTATATCACTGAAAGGCCCTTCTGATCTATCTTAAGAAGAATTAACTCTTATTTAATATGAATAGAATAAACACTTCTGTGAAGAAATACTGTAGTAGATACAATTCAAGCTATATATCTGTATTCAAATAGTTACTTACTACAAATATTATCAAGGTATCTTAAGTCAATAGTTATAGTGCTATTCTGCTGTCAGAACTTAAGAACTGATGTATTAAATATACAGAGAAATAGTATTATCATGATCAAGACTTTTCAGTGTCAGCTTCATAATTTATATCTACTCAGTATCAGTAACAGATAGCTGCTTTTTTTCATCAGAAGACATCTATCTTTGAATTTAATTAAAATGAATTATATGATGCTGTCAATCCTCTTCAGACTTGAAGCTGTCAAGATAAATTTGAAGATCAGCTTCACAGCTTTCTGTCAAGTTAAATTGCAGCTGTAAATAATGTGTATGAAGCTATTCTCATAGAAAGATATCAATATCAGATAATTAAAAACAGGGACAGAACAGCAGAGATTGCAGTATCTACTGAAATGTCAAGTAGTAATTCAATCAGTAAAATGACAGCAGCTCAGCAGCTCACAGCTGTATAATATATAAAAGATAATAATCTGGTTCAGATGACTGCTTAATATACAGTAAAAAGAGCACAGTAACTTAATAAGATCTTCACTGAGATCTTTACAGCTCTTTCAGCTGCTGTTACTGCTACTGATGTCTCTACTGCTCTAGTTATATCTATTATCAGTGCTTTTACTACTCTGCAGTTCACTTCTTCTTCAAGTCTCTGAGTTTATTCTTCTTTAAGTTCATAAGTTTATATATTCACAACTACTCAAGTTCACACTTCATTCAAGTAATGAAGTAATAATAATAGTATTAATATTTAAATTCTCTGCAAATAAACATCATTTAATGAATGAAATATAAATACAGATATTTTATTTATAAAGATATCTTATTTTGACTGTGTTTAAACTTCTTCTTGCAGAGAAAGAGATAACTTCTCTATAGAAAATAATATTATTAAGTAGTTAGATATCTTCTGTAATAAATCTTCTATAAACTTCTTGTAATTTCTAATCACTTCTACTAACTTCTGAATCAATCATGAATTGTAGAGTTATAGAAGTGAATAGAAATATACTCATTTAGATATTATTAACTTACTCATGTATTATTCACTCATATTATAAGTATAAATATAAGCTTGTTACTTCATTTTCTTTATCTTTTTTTCAATCAGTAACAATTTACTTATCAATATGAAAATCTCTCTATCACATTATCTACTGCTGCCTCTGCTGCTTCACTCACTCATCTGTTCTTTAATACAATAAAAGTAAGTTAAATCTTAATCATTGATGATATATAAACTAATCTCTAACTAAACAGTTTAGTTAAATAATAATGTCTACTCACAAGCTTGAGTTTGTCATTTTCAAAGCTCATTATAATATTAACTGTATAAAAATATCTTAATACACACGAGCCTCTGTGTGCAAAGACATTGCGGAGCTAAGCTCAAAACAGAAGGCCATGCAAGATTGATTTTACAGCTTATTATTAATAAGAATAATAATAATAGAAGGGATAGAACTGTAAAAACAAATAGAGATTCATTTTTCAGTGCAAAAGCACCAGCTAACTAAGTAAGGAAAAAAACAAAAAACAGCTCCATTCTGCCCCGCTCTGCCAGCTCATATGTCATTTTCAAGAACAGTTTGAGTGGTCTGAAGAAGACTTGTAATAGTTCTGAATTTGATCTTCAGAGCTTTATTCTTCTTGCACAGCATCTCATTTTCAATATGAAGAGTTAAAATCTGAATATTATAACTGTTAACTGACTTAACACTTGCTGTCTGTTTTTTCAAGACTCTAGTTTCTGTATTCTCAGCTGCAGAATACTTCTTGAATGAGCTCTTCTTCTTGACTTTCTTTCTCTTTTCATTCTTCTGCTTCTTTTCTTTCACTTCGACATTTTTCTTAAGTTCTTACTGATATTGACTATGTATAATTATTAGTTAATTGTATTGAAATTAGCATATTTTATGTTGAAAAGTGACTCACTTCTATGATAAGAGTAGTGACTTTCAGTGCCATTGTAATGACAACTGATACAAGCTTCATGACACTGATTCAGAATGCTGATTCAGATGATAAAAGAGTCTTCTTCTCTAACACAGTGATTACAGAGAACTGCAAAAACAGCATTATGAAATTATAGAAGAAGAGCTTTATAATTTGCATTGATTTTTATATTGATCTGATGACTCTTCTGCAAGACTGACTCTCAAGCATAGAATAATTTGATGAGAGTCTGTAGCTTCTTTGACAGCTTCTCAGGCATTCTTTCAGTCAAATGAGTCAATGATTGACTTGATGATCTAGAACTGACAGATGCAGCAGAGACAGGCACAGGCGCAGAACTGAGAATAAGACTGGCAGCTGATGACTCTGCAGGCTGAACAGGCTGAACAAGGTTATTGAGAACTGTACTGGCTGTCATAATTGCAATTTTCATTATTTTGAGAACCTCACTTACAATCAATGTGTTTTGAGATGTTGTTTTCAGTTATAATGATAGTATTGATGGTTTTTTGAACTTCTGATGAATTAATAGAGATAAATAACATAGTTTCTGAAAAAAAAAAAACAGCTGACAGAGATGACTGATAAGAGATAAGATGAATTCTTCAAAGAGAAAAGAAACACTCTGAGATTCATTCACTTTCTCTTATACATGTGTTAACAGCTGTAAGAATTCAATATCTCTTATCACATAATGCAACACAGATCTCAATAACACAGATCTCAGAAGATTCTCAATTTCTCAGGTCAAAGATATCATTATATTAAATCTGAACTGTATAGATTAATATCTGAATTATTTTAATACCTTCTGTAGACTGCTAACTGCTCATTCTCAGATTCAGTGATTATAATAGAATTAGCTGTAATAGATTTGTTAAATTCAATAATTGAATTCAGTAAATCTGTGAGCAGAACAGATGAAGAGAATGATAGAACAGAGAGTGAAGAACTTACAGTAATGAAGAATGAGTGAATGAGCAGATTAAATGTGAACTGTGAAAAAGATGAAATAAAGAATGAATGAAGCTATAGAGAATATAGATTAGCAGAGATCTACAAAAAGAAAAGAGATATAACTTAGTTATCTGTTGACTTTAATATCTTATATAATCAATCTCACACATCTGCATGCTTCTGCTCACTCTGTTATCAGGCCAGTGAAATCTGAAATAATCAAAGAGTTGCTTGAACAGATGACCTTGATATGTTTTGACCTGTGAAACTGCAACATATATGAGATCAGTCTGGAATTCAGTCTTGAAAATATTAAGAACAGTCTGATCAAGTGATAATCCTTGGGATTTATGAACAGTAATGATATATACAACTGTAATAGAGAACTGCATACGGCTGCAGACTTGATTAACATGAGAAAAGTCATGACAGCTGTGAAAGATAGGCATAAGTTTAAGACTCTCTCATTTCAAATAAGCAGGGCTGTCATATTTGTCAAAATTGATTAGCAGTGTAAATGAAGAATTTTGACAAAGATTCTTCACATCTGAACTTCATACAATGTTATGAAGAATCTTAAGAGTACTGTTAATGAGGCTGCAGTCTGTTCAAATATTCTATAAAAGTATGATTCAGCAGTTAATAAAAAGAGCAAGACTCTGATGAAGATTATCAGTCTTATCAGAATCTAACTGAGAAGTGTCTATACTAACATTTATGATCTGAATATTAATAACCAGTTGTTTACAGCTTTGAATAGTATCATTATTATAGACATGAACATAGCACTTCTTTGCATAAATGTGAATTGCATTCTCAAAGACTGAGACTTCATGAGAGATAAGAGCCTGCACATGCTTTGAAAGGAACTCTCAATCACTCAGAGTTAACTGACTAAGCTGAAGATTTTTCAAGGTCTCATGAAACTGGCAGCTGATGACATCTTCACTCACTTATTATTGAATCATAGTAAGTTGAATGATTTTACTAAAAGCTAAGTAGATTTGACAGCTCTGCATGTCTTCTTTATGATTAATATGTCTGTGATGATAGAGCAGGGTTTGAAAAACAGATAAGAGCTAATAGGAATCTTCACTGAGAATGACACTGAGACTATCAAAATGAGCATTCTTGTGAGGAAATATATAATGACAGATCTGATTAATTCATGAAAGTTGCTGTAAATCAATCATTGACTTTTCATCAATTAACAGATAGTGAACATCCTTAAAAAGAGCCTGCAAAGATTGAAGATTTTGAGGATTAAGCAGTTCATATAATGTGTTCTTGTGTATGAGAAGTTGAAATAATACATGCAAGATTTGAGTGTTAATAAAGTGAGCAGCTACATCAGTTGATGTGACTTAAATGATTGAGGTTGAGAGATCTTGAGCCTCTGCAAGATTTTGAAGAGTTGTAGATAAAATCATAATCAGATAAGTTTTATCAGTGTCATCTTCATTATCTAGATTAATTAGCAAAGAATTCAGAAACCTACTGTTAAGAATCTCAGTATAATGATAGAGAATAGTGTCATGAAGAAGATATTAATCAGAGTCTAGAGTCTTGAGTGAGCCATATTTATAAAGAGTAGTATCTGTGAGGAAGTCAGTCTTCATATTATTTTAAAATTCTGTGTCAAGATTGATATAAGTGTTAATATGAGAGCTTCAATCATAGTTGAAATCTAAGGACTGATAATCAAGCTGTTCACAGTTTCAGATGTCAATGAGGTCATCATTATCATGCTGCGAGTTTTGATGAGTGAGCAATGCTCAAGAGAGATCAAGCTTCTCTTTATCATTCAGATCATCTTCAAACTCAGGTTCTGATTTCAGCATATCTTCATCATAGACATCAACTGAGTGATTATGAGAAAGACAGTAATAATTAAAGATCTCTGTAAAAGAGGATCAAGAGATGAAGAGATCAACAATCTTGAGATCTTCAATTTAATGAAAAGAATGATGAAGAAGAAGTTTGACATGAGCATAGTTCTCTGAATCAGTTTTGAACTGATAAACAGAAAAGTAGATCAATACTCAGAGTTTTACATGAAGATGTCTCTTAATTTGATGACTGTGACAACAGATTTGAAGAAAGTTAAAAAATAAAAGATCTTCAAATTCAGTTGATCACTGCTTATATTTTTTCAAAAAGAATGAATTATGTTATAATTCATCAGATTCAAGAATATAGCTATGATGATATTGAGATTCAGATTGACAATTAACTGCAATTGACTTGTAAGAACTCATTTATAAAGAAAGATTTAAAAGAAGATGATAAATCTTCTGAGCAGATCAATTGCACTTGTCAATGAGTCAATTCATAAGTTTAACAACTGTAGAGAGTAGTGAGTGGCTTGAACTGACTCTTGAAATCACTTATTGAATAATCTGATGATAGAATTCTGTGTCTGTTTTAGTCTTGACAATGTACTTAGACAGATAATTAAAAATGACACAGCTGTCAGTGCAGGGAACAATGTCAGTATTTACTAGTCAGCTAACTATAATCAATCTGTTATAGTTATTAAGAATTGAGTTATTATAATGAGAGTGCAGCTGATAATATCTACTACTCAATAATTTGAGAATAGCACAGTCAGTTCAGTATTCATATGAGAAGTGAAATCAGTAATATAGATTGTCAGTGATATGATATTTATAAATGCAGTACTTTTCACTATAATGATGATATTGAACACAGTTGAGAACTGTAGATAAATATTCAATAACATTCATCTGATTAGAATGACTGAGAGAAAGAGATGACTATGCATCTTTAAACTGAGTGTAATTAGGCTCAGAATTCTCAGCTGTAATAATGAGGTCTCAGTAGTCAGCAAAGGCTTGATAAAAGTCTTCATTCATGTCAAGTTTGAGATTCAGCACATTCTTACATCAAAATACACTATGTGAGTACACTTATTCATGATCTTGTCACTCATAACAAGTTCAGTGATCTAGGATTTTGAATTTCAGATCTAGAATCTTTTTCTTGAAGATTGCAAGTTGTAGATGAAAGTAATGTGTAACTATAGTGAGATAGTCATGAATACTATCTCTTACAAACTTCAATCTCTCAAGATCAGTGCCGTGCTTCTAAATAACATAGTCAGAGAAGTGATGCATCAGATCATCTCAGTGATAATCTGCAGCTGAGAGAGTAAGAAATAGATGTGAAGATCTGATATTTTGAACATAAGTTTATAGCTGATGATGTTTTTCATCTCAAAAAGAACAGATTTTATAAAGACTCTCTGCAAACTGTGTAAGTGAATTCAAAATCATGATAGATTGTAATTGTAACGTGGCGGAACCGAAGCGGTGGCTAGTCGGCGGCGTCACGTAGGGGTAGTTGTTTGGGAAGCCGTATGGGTGGGCTTGACTATCTTGCTTGAATAGCGAGCTCGTAGGCTACAGGGTTATTGCGAGGATATCACAGATATGGTACTTCGTATACTAAGAAGATTGTATGAGGCACGCAGTAACTCTCGTATATATTCCCGACGGAGAAAAAACGAATCGCTGGCTCCTTTGATGGGGAGCCAGCATCTAGCTATTCTATATAGACAATGGGCGGATACCCTCCTCCCATTCCACGAGCGAGGATAGCCGGAGCGATACCTCAGCGGCGCCTCATTGCCAAGGAAGAGTAATCTGCTGACCTCGTATAGAAGCGGGGTTCTCATATCCATCAATCGGATCTTCCTATGATATATCCGAATGATGTCATAGGGTGGTGTAAAGTGTTAGCAGTAAAAGCAGTCTGCAGCTTCTCTAGAGTGAGATTCTTAATAAGAGAGTTAGTTTGATTATAGAAAAAATAATTCTGATTATTAATCTATCTGCAGAATAGAGAATTGAAAAGAACATATTAAAAACAGCTATAGTAAGCAAAGCAGCTGTTATGATATTTAAGAAGAAACTGCATGTAATCTGCAAGACTAATTGTTCTTTGTCTAGAGAGAATGAATTCAGCTTCACCTTGTGAAAAAAGTGTTGAAAAGACTTAAGAAAAGAGTGAGTGAGTATTGTTAAACTTACTAA